AATGGAATGGAAAGGACAGACTGGTGTGTAAGCTGCAAAAATCACTGTATGGACTAAAGCAGTCGGGTCGCAACTGGAACAGAATGTTGCATGATTATTTGTGTGGAAACAACTTTGTACAAAACCCAGCTGACCATTGTGTGTATACCAGAGTAAACGAGGAGGAAAAGATTTACATTATAATTTGGGTTGATGATTTGATTATTGCAACCAGTGATGTAATTGTCTTAAAATGTGTGAAAGAGATGCTCCAGTCCAAATTCAAAATGAAGGATTTAGGAGAGTTTCTTGGGTATAAACTTTGAGCAGTCTGGTAATTGTGTGAAGATGTCCCAATCCAAATACACTCATAAAATATTGGACAGGTTCGACATGGTGAACTGTAAAGCCAGAGCTACACCCTGCGAACACAAACTGGACTACAGGGAAGACGCTGAACCAATGACTAATTAGGGATGTAAATCGGTGACCGTTTAACCGGTGGTTGACCGTCACAGCGTTAACCGGTCAAAGCTGTCGGTTTAAAAAAGAGAAAAAGGGGAGAGGGGAGGTCTTTTCATGCCGCTATTTTAAGCCCTATTTGCACGATGTGACGAGCGGGTCCGTATCTAGCTGTGTGCGCCAATGTATCACTAAACTCCAAGCCGACTCTCACGCTGCACGCGCAACATATGCACGCACACACGCACACACACAAACTTTCCATACGTAACATCCACACGCATCATCTCTCCCCTCTGTTACCATCTGCTAGTTGCACACTGGTGCGGGTCAGAACTACATTGGAGCTTATATTTATACACACATACACATACATGTATTGTACACACACACATACCGGTCTGTCGCGCTCCTCTGTGTCATGCAGCCCAAAGAATACACGACTCCAGTCAAACCATTTGGGAACATGTTTGTGCTGCTGGTCCTTGGCATTAGAACAGCTCCGCACAGGTCACTGGTATTTAAACTTTAGCAGAGACCTGCGAGACGCGGCGCGTCACTCGCTGCTCTGACCATGTGAACGAGCCTTCTTTTGCTTAAAAATGCTTTAACCCGCAGCACAGCAGAATGGGAAGATTAAAACAGCAGTTCTCTGTGCGCAAAGGTGCTGAAGCTGTTGTGGGTTTTGCCGCCGCTGTCTCGGCTTGGATCCAGTAGAACGCAGAGCTGCTCTTATGAGAAGTATGCGGCTCAAAATGGCTGTTATTTCAAAGAACGTGGACTATTTTAAACTACGCGGTTAACCGGTTTCAACCTGTTAATGAGGCTCGGTGGTCGGTCATGAAAATTCATAGTTTTTTACATCCCTATGACTGATGTTACCAAGTATAGAGAGGCTGTGGGTAGCTTCATCTACCTAGCAGAGGTGGGACAAAGTCATTGTTTAGCAAGTCACAAGTCAGTCTCAATTCATTGCCCTCAAGTCCCGAGTCAAGTCATGAGTCAAGACAGGCAAGTCCCGAGTCGAGTCCAAGTCAAAGGCCAACAAATCTCAAGTCAGTCCCAAGTCCTACGGTTTGACTTTCGAGTCCTCTCGAGTCTTTTTGACCGCGATTTGTTTCTTGTTGGTCTCCACGTACTTTTGTAGGCAAACAAAATAATGTTAGGAATCATTTTGCTGGTGCATTCTCGTTGGTCTCTGACCCATGGACTAACAGTTTGTTCCATGTCGTTGGCTGCTGATAAATCAAAACTATCTACGTGATCTAATTGGATGTTGTGCCAGATGCAGGCTCAGTTACACATGCACAGACCACACATAAAATCAGAGCAGTCCATGTCAACATACTTTTTATCTTTGGGGTTTTTAATGGGAAGTAGCAAGTGCAGCATATATGAATATGAGTATTGGGCTAGGACCTGTATCTATATAATCAGTTTAATGTCCGTAGTGGTTATTGTTCCAAAGGACTGAAGGGACCAATGGAGGGGAAGGAACCTGGCCTGTATGAACTGGACCAGCATTAGTAATATCTCATAATTACCAATATATCATTACATAATAAAATGTCTCATATAAATTAATTCAATCAGTCAAAGCACTGATTCTCATATCAATGAACCATAAACAATAGTGCAAATATTAATCTAGCTTAGTGCACATAATCAAAACAACTATCTAATGTATGCAAACTTTAGCAGGAGGAGCACAGCAAAAACATACTCATAATAATAGGCCTCGGCGCCCACACAGAAAAATATAAGAAAGAGCCAACAGAGCAGCGCAGGCTAGCGCTAGTTTGACTCACCAGTTCCTCTTTAAAACACGGCACAGAGTGTGACAACTGCGTCGATTCAATTGTATGAGGCGCCTGTAGTGAAAGCATATCAATTACGGTTTGTAGAACAAAATATGACGCTGGGCGATAAAACAATAACGATATATATCGCGATAGACATGTGTTCGATATCAATAGAGAATGGGGTCGATAGAATGTTCGATAGTTTAACTTAACTCCGTCAGGAAAAACAGGAAGAAAACACCGGAAGTAAAGCCGACTCATAAGCGCATGGCATTGTGGGGGATGTAGGCAGAGGCTTCTCGACCAATAACAGCCGAGCAGGAACCGCAAAACTTTGTGGGAAATGCAAAAACACCAACAACCGCACCATGCGTAGCGTCCATGGATCTATAGCTCGTGTTTCAATGCCGTGTCAATGGTTGTGCTCGTACGTGCGCGGAATAACATGTGCGGCGGCAGAGGCAGTGGACAGACACGATGTATTCAGCCAAAGCAAGAGATTAACTTTTTCCTCGGGAACCATGTGCGGCACAGAGAGCCGCACGGAGCGGTCACGGGGACACAAGACCCTCAAACAGCTAAACCAGGAGCTAAACCAGGAATAAAAAACCAGGATTAAACCAGGACTAACAACGAGGGACACAGTGTGAACATATTTCTCCAGCCTCATCGCCCCGTGACTGTAAACAAGGCTGCTAAGGTTGGTTAGCCCACACCACAAATATATTTATTTAGGTAAAAAAAAAAAAACTCAATATAATAATAATAATAATAATAATGCATCGGTTTTATATAGCGCTTTTCTGGACACTCAAAGACGCTTCACATGTGTCATTATTCATTCACTCCAAACACGGTGGTGATAAACTACTGCTGTAGCCACAGCTGCCCTGGGGCACACTGACAGAAGCGAGGCAACCAGTATGCGCCATCGGCCCCTCCGACCACCACCAACCATTCACACACACACCAGACTCATTCTAGGCAATGGGGGTGAAGTGTCTTGCCTAAGGACACAACGGCAGTTTGGCACTTTACAGCCGCAGCCGCCCCACTGTGGCTGATGTTCCCAGAGGTTAAGTGTCTTGCCAAGGACACAACGACAGCAGACAGTGGGAGTCGATGGTGAAAGTCTTGAGCGGGGCTTGAACCCACGACCTTCTGGCTCAAAGGCCAAAGCTCTACCAACTGAGCTACTGCCGCCCAATATATATCGTTATCGACCGATATGAATGACTTATATCGTGATATAGTTTTCAGCCATATCGCCCAGCCCTAATATGACGTTAGGTCGCGATAAATACCTGCAGCTCGCTCATTTCCAGCTCCCCTACGACAACACACCCACCGGTGAATGCAGTGCGCTTGTTTAGGGAAGTGTTGCTGCGCGAACTGAGGGGAACTCACGTTCGAACTCTCTCGCGAGCGCTACAACTACCGCGAGGCTTTGTTTCTTCAGAGACGGCATAGATAGACAGAGAGATTCGGAGAAAGGTAAAAATGGCCCGGGTTACGCAAGTCTTTGCAAGTCAATTGGCGCAAGTCCAAGTGAAAGTCAGAGTCATTGATGTTAAAGTCCAAGTCGAGTTGCAAGTCTTTTTATATTTGGTCAAGTCGAGTCTAAAGTCATCCAAATCATGACTCGAGTCTGACTCGAGTCCAAGTCACATGACTCGAGTCCACACCTCTGCTACCTAGCAACCTGTACTAGACCAGATCTGAGTTTTGTGGTCAGTAAACTGTCACAGTACTTTACACGACCTACAGTAGAACAATGGACCACTGTTAAGCACACTTTGAGATACTTAAAAAGGAACAGAGGACAAAGGCCTCAGTTTTAGAAAGTACACAGATGAGTCTATTATTTATGCTTACAGTGATTCTAATTGGGCTGCAGGTGTGAGCGACCGCAGGAGCACAACGGGTTACTGTACCAGCCTCAACAAAGATGGGCCACTAGTGTCATGGCAGACCAAGACACAGCCCACTGTGGCTCTGTCCACTTGTGAGGCCGAGTACATGGCTTTGGCTGCGGCCATCCGAGAGTGTATTTACTTACATCTCTTGGAATGCGTTGGTGGTCAAAGATATACGTGTCATCTATATGAGGACAATCAGATAGCTTTAGCAAAGAATCCTGTGCAGCGACAAAGATGTAAGCATGTGGACATCAAATACCACTTTATGGAGGTCCACATTAAATACAGGCAGAATTTGTTAGATTTACTGTCCTACAAATGAAATGGTTGCTGATGTACTCACAAAGCCAGAAACCAAATTACAAATTATGAAGTTTGATTTGTTTGGTGTTTAAAAGTTAAATGATACCTATGTTAAAGGTGTATGGTACTTGTGTTTACTTAAGCAATTTCAATTTAAAAATGTGATCAAGTGGGAGTGTTGAGATGTGCTCTCATTGTGTTATTTGTTTTCAACGTCATGTGACTGTATGATTTAAGAATCACCTACACCTGTGAAAGTGTCATTGAATAAAAAACTGTGCTCACGAGAATGGTGCAGCACTAAAAGAAATCAAGTTTTTGCGTTGTGTTTAAAGGCTGACACGTTCAACACTGCGAGTAATCTGATCTGCTAACAAGTAGTACTAGTAGCAGCAGTAGCAGTAGTACTAGTAGCAGCAGTAGCAGTAGTACTAGTAGCAGCAGTAGCAGTAGTACTAGTAGCAGCAGTAGCAGTAGTACTAGCAGCAGTAAATATCATCAGTGTAATAATGGTACAGATGCTGCAGTCTCTCACCGTGTGCAGAAAAGCAGGTGCTGCATGAGGAGGAACATTGTGTCTGAAGGAACGAGCCTGAAACAAAAACAAAAGATAACGACTGCGTGACACACGACATTTAGGCTTTCGGGCCTGAACTACAGACTCTAACCCTCTCTCTAACCACAGTTTACAGTGTCTGGCTCCTGTACCAGTAAGCTCAGTGGTCCCAGTCCAGTCCCACATGCTGCAGGTGTGGTCCCAGTCCCAGTCTAGTCCCACATGCCGCAGCTGTGGTCCCAGTCACAGTCCAGTCCCACATGCTTTAGGTGTGGTCACAGTCCAGTCCCACATGCCGCAGCTGTGGTCCCAGTCACAGTCCAGTCCCACATGCCGCAGCTGTGGTCCCAGTCACAGTCCAGTCCCACATGCCGCAGCTGTGGTCCCAGTCACAGTCCAGTCCCACATGCCGCAGCTGTGGTCCCAGTCACAGTCCAGTCCCAGTCCAGTCCCACATGCCGCAGGTGTGGTCCCAGTCACAGTCCAGTCCCACATGCCGCAGCTGTGGTCCCAGTCACAGTCCAGTCCCACATGCCGCAGCTGTGGTCCCAGTCACAGTCCAGTCCCACATGCCGCAGCTGTGGTCCCAGTCACAGTCCAGTCCCACATGCCGCAGCTGTGGTCCCAGTCACAGTCCAGTCCCAGTCCAGTCCCACATGCCGCAGGTGTGGTCCCAGTCACAGTCCAGTCCCACATGCCGCAGGTGTGGTCCCAGTCACAGTCCAGTCCCACATGCTGCAGCTGTGGTCCCAGTCACAGTCCAGTCCCACATGCCGCAGCTGTGGTCCCAGTCACAGTCCAGTCCCACATGCCGCAGCTGTGGTCCCAGTCCAGTCCCACATGCCGCAGCTGTGGTCCCAGTCCCAGTCCAGTCCCACATGCCGCAGCTGTGGTCCCAGTCACAGTCCAGTCCCAGTCCAGTCCCACATGCCGCAGCTGTGGTCCCAGTCACAGTCCAGTCCCACATGCCGCAGCTGTGGTCCCAGTCACAGTCCAGTCCCACATGCCGCAGCTGTGGTCCCAGTCACAGTCCAGTCCCAGTCCAGTCCCACATGCCGCAGCTGTGGTCCCAGTCACAGTCCCACGTGCTGGAGCTGTGGTCCCAGTCCAGTGCCACGTGCTGGAGCTGTGGTCCCAGTCCAGTGCCACGTGCTGGAGCTGTGGTCCCAGTCCAGTCCCACGTGCTGCAGCTGTGGTCCCAGTCCAGTCCCACGTGCTGCAGCTGTGGTCCCAGTCCCAGATGCTGCAGCTGTGGTCCCAGTCCCAGTCCCACATGCTGCAGCTGTGGTCCCAGTCCCAGTCCCACATGCTGCAGCTGTGGTCCCAGTCCCACATGCTTCAGCTGTGGTCCCAGTCCAGTCCCACATGCTGCAGCTGTGGTCCCAGTCCAGTCCCACATGCTGCAGCTGTGGTCCCAGTCCCACATGCTGCAGCTGTGGTCCCAGTCCCAGTCCCACATGCTGCAGCTGTGGTCCCAGTCCCAGTCCCACATGCTGCAGCTGTGGTCCCAGTCCCAGTCCCACATGCTGCAGCTGTGGTCCCAGTCCCACATGCTGCAGCTGTGGTCCCAGTCCCACATGCTGCAGCTGTGGTCCCAGTCCCACATGCTGCAGCTGTGGACCCAGTCCAGTCCCACATGCTGCAGCTGTGGACCCAGTCCAGTCCCACATGCTGCAGCTGTGGTCCCAGTCCAGTCCCACATGCTTTAGGTGTGGTCCCAGTCCAGTCCCACATGCAGCAGCTGTGGTCCCAGTCCAGTCCCACATGCTTTAGGTGTGGTCCCAGTCCAGTCCCACATGCTGCAGTCCCAGTCCCAGTCCAGGTCTTACATGCTGCAGCTGTGGTCCCAGTCCCAGTCCAGGTCTTACATGCTGCAGGTTTGGTCCCAGTCCAGGTCTTACATGCTGCAGGTTTGGTCCCAGTCCAGGTCTTACATGCTGCAGGTGTGGTCCCAGTCCAGGTCTTACATGCTGCAGGTGTGGTCCCAGTCCCAGTTCCAGTCCAGGTCTTACATGCTGCAGGTGCGGTCCCAGTCCCAGTCCAGGTCTTACATGCTGCAGGTGTGGTCCCAGTCCAGGTCTTACATGCTGCAGGTGTGGTCCCAGTCCAGGTCTTACATGCTGCAGGTGTGGTCCCAGTCCCAGTCCAGGTCTTACATGCTGCAGGTGTGCTCCCAGTCCCAGTCCAGGTCTTACATGCTGCAGGTGTGCTCCCAGTCCCAGTCTTACATGCTGCAGGTGTGCTCCCAGTCCCAGTCCAGGTCTTACATGCTGCAGGTGTGGTCCCAGTCCCAGTCCAGGTCTTACATGCTGCAGGTGTGGTCCCAGTCCCAGTCCAGGTCTTACATGCTGCAGGTGTGCTCCCAGTCCCAGTCCAGGTCTTACATGCTGCAGGTGTGCTCCCAGTCCCAGTCCAGGTCTTACATGCTGCAGGTGTACTCCCAGTCCCAGTCCAGGTCTTACATGCTGCAGGTGTGGTCCCAGTCCCAGTCCAGGTCTTACATGCTGCAGGTGTGCTCCCAGTCCCAGTCCAGGTCTTACATGCTGCAGGTGTGGTCCCAGTCCAGGTCTTACATGCTACAGGTGTGGTCCCAGTCCCAGTCCAGGTCTTACATGCTGCAGGTGTGGTCCCAGTCCCAGTCCAGGTCTTACATGCTGCAGGTGTGGTCCCAGTCCCAGTCCAGGTCTTACATGCTGCAGGTGTGGTCCCAGTCCAGGTCTTACATGCTACAGGTGTACTCCCAGTCCAGGTCTTACATGCTGCAGGTGTACTCCCAGTCCCAGTCCAGGTCTTACATGCTGCAGGTGTACTCCCAGTCCCAGTCCAGGTCTTACATGCTGCAGGTGTGGTCCCAGTCCCAGTCCAGGTCTTACATGCTGCAGGTGTGGTCCCAGTCCAGGTCTTACATGCTACAGGTGTGGTCCCAGTCCCAGTCCAGGTCTTACATGCTGCAGGTGTGGTCCCAGTCCAGGTCTTACATGCTGCAGGTGTGGTCCCAGTCCAGGTCTTACATGCTGCAGGTGTGGTCCCAGTCCCAGTCCAGGTCTTACATGCTGCAGGTGTGCGTGTGCCTGGCTGGCGATGTCAAACACCACGTCTCTCACACTCTGCTCTCGACTGAAGCGAAGGAACTGCTCCTGAGACACACCATGCTGCAGCGCACACGCACACGCACACACACACACACACACACACACGCACACAATGGAGACAGATGTTAGAACATAGGACCATCAGACCATCTGAACAGCCTGAGGACTTTAGACCAAGAGGACGAGGCTCAGACAGATGTCAGACAGATGTTTACCTGCAGACACAGGTCCATGGGCAGGTAGACCCTGCGGCGGCTGCAGTGATAGGGCGTCGCTCTCAGACATGTGACGATGCCCTGAGCTTTACCGATGTGACTCGCTGCATGGTCTGCATGGACGTCCTTTATTCCTGTAGAGAGGAACGGGTCAAAACAAAACATCTGCAGAGAGGAACAGGTCAAGACAACACATCTGCAGAGAAGAAAGAGTCAAAGCTGTAAGGGAGGATTGAACACACAGAGGGGCAGAGAGCAGAACCGTATGGCAAGACTCACCTACAGCCTCCAGCAGAAGATAGAGCAGAGAGGACTGTGTGTTCTCAGAGTACGTCTCCAGCTCAGACAGGTTCCTGTAAGCGCGGTCCTCCAGGTCCTTCTCCTGAAACACAGATCTCAGTCTCAAGCCTCTGCCTCTGCCTCTGCCTCTGCCTCTGTCTCTGTCTCTGTCTCTGTCTCCTCTGTCTCTGTCTCTGTCTCTGTCTCTGTCTCTGTCTCTGTCTCTGCCTCTGCCTCTGCCTCTGCCTCTGCCTCTGTCTCTGTCTCTGTCTCTGCCTCTGCCTCTGTCTCTGCCTCTGCCTCTGCCTCTGCCTCTGCCTCTGCCTCTGCCTCTGTCTCTGCCTCTGCCTCTGTCTCTGTCTCTGTCTCTGTCTCTGCCTCTGGCTCTGTCTCTGTCTCTGTCTCTGCCTCTGCCTCTGCCTCTGCCTCTGCCTCTGCCTCTGCCTCACTCTCTCTCTGATGATCCGCAGCAGCCAGCTCTTTGTCAGGTGGTGTTTCCTCACGGCCTGAACACAAACAAAACACACTCAACTCAATTACATTTATTTGTATATCACCCTAAATCACAACAGTAGTTACCTCAGCACAATACCTAACTGTTGATTCTCCAACACAGATCAGAGAATCAGATCTGTGTTGGATATGTGTGTGTATATGTGTGTGTGTGTGTATACGTGTGTCCTCACCCTCCACAGTTCTGCACTGACAGGTTGTTTCGGAGGTTCATCACGGTACATTTCCTCCACCGCAGTTTTCCAGAACTGCATTCGGATCAAACCAATGGTTTTCTGGGAAACGGAGTCTTTTACCTGAATACAGACACACATCACAGACACACAACATCACTGAGAACCTCAAACCCACTGAGTCCTGGATGAGGACTGTGACACACGACAACAGTGAGTGTGTTACGAAAGTGTGTAAAAGACACAGAACTGTGCGTTTCACTTTCCATGTTCACCGCGGCTGTTAAAGAATGATGTTGGTTCTTTCCTATCTTTAGTCTGAGAAGGATGTTGTTGAGGAAGTACTTCTTCTCTTCTGCTGGGAGCATGTTTCATGTTGTTCCACTGCCACCTACTGGCCACAAGCGACAACTACATGGTTTTCCACCATCTAAATGCTGCGCAGGAGCTTTTGCTAATTGCTTTGCAGAGTCTCCGTAAAAGCAGGGGCTGAGTGTGTGTGTAACAACCAACCACTATGTCATGTGAGTGTGTGTTGTGTTCCATCTACACCTGCGGACTGCCCCGCCCGACCCGCCTGGGAGTGCTTCGGTCCTGCACCGGACCTGTCCACGTTCAGCGTCCACTGGTCCACGTTCTGTAGCTAGCTTAGGTCCTAGATCATTAGTCTGTCCGTCCGGAGGAGCGGATCCCTTTCTCATATGGGTCTCCCTCCCTGTGGGTTTCCCTAGTTCTCCTCCAAGGTTTCTCACTTTTTCCCACTGGGTTTTTTAAGAGTTTTTCCTTGTCGATGCAGGAGGGTCTTGTTGGACAGTTAGTGTCCAACAGAAAGGATTGGTGATGATCAGGACACTTTAGCATTCTACAACATGTATGGACATTTTCTTCTGTGTGTGCTTTATACTGTATTCTTCATGTGTTTTAACTGTTGATTCTCTGACCTGTGTTGGTGATTTCAATGGTTTTGTTAAGTCCTCTGAGATGACTTCTGTTGTGACCTAGGGCTATACAAGAATAAATTGTATTGTATTGTATTGTATTGTGTGTGTGTTGTGTGTTGCTACCTGCCTGAGCCAGCTCCACATTAAAAGCTCTCAGAGCAAGAGAGGAGCGTCTGGCCTCCTCTGGGAACAGCAGTGAACACACCAGGCCTTCATAGTCTCTAGACCTGAGGGACAGAGACCAGGTGAGACCAGGTGGGACCAGAGAGAGAGAGACCAGAGAGAGACCAGGGGCCTCATGTATGAAACTTGCGCAGAAAAAGGTGTACATTTTGGGTGTATATTCCAAATACGCACAATTCTACGGCAGATTTATGCACGTGTGAGGTCCGCCCATATAAGAGCGTACGCACCTGCTCCTGTTGATAAATGTGGCGGCTGAAAACGAACGTAATTAAGAAAGTCACGCATATAAATATTCAGAAACCGCCTGTTCCACGCCTCATTTTTACGACATGGCAGAAAGAAAAATGGCGAAGAAGAAGAACTTCACGGAGCAGGAGGTAGAAGTCATCACGAGAGAAGTAGAAAAGAACAAAGTAATATTTTTTGGAAGCCTCAAAAGTGGGATAAAAGGGGCGCAAAAAAATAAAATATGGAAGGCTATTGCAGCCTCCGTCAACAGCGTGGGGCCTGTGCCACGCACTCCAGGGGAGGCGCGTTCATTCATGTTTGCTAAAGAAATATACCATGTCAAGTATATTTTCCTTTATGCCTACAGGTGAAAAAAAAAGTGTGACCTACAGATTATCACCAAAAGGCGTTTAGCCGCCCACAAGTGCAGTGCTCAGCAGACAGGGGGAGGACCGCCAGACCGAAGCCACTTGTCTGCAACGGAGGAGCGGGTTGCTGCGCTAATCGGTGAGGCCTCAATCGTCGGTGTCTTGGGGGATGAAGGAGACACCGACCTGATCCAGGAGACTGTTCGAGGTAAGTAATTACATTTTAGCTAAATCTGTCTAAATGAAAGCAGTCATCCTTAATTGTATGTTTTTGATTGTAGAAGTTCCAGGAACAAGTGCGGCTGGGCCAAAGGAAGGGCCCGAGGCCGCTGTTTCCCAACCCCGCTCATCCCCGGCTCCACGACGGGCCTCGGTCCTGACTGAGGAGGTGCTGGACAGGCAAACGGAGATTTGGAGCCAGCTGGTGGAGATAAACACAAATTTGCTCCTAATTAACGAGACACTATGTAAAATAAACGAACATTTTAAGAAATACATTTTTTAAAAATTATTTGTGTGATCAATACTTCAAAATCGTTGAATGAGGGCCTGCCTGAGCTGTACAGGCTCAAGTGCAGGCGGTGCTGGCCATGGTTCGTCCATTTCCAGCTATTTCTCGTTGGAATGACCCGGTGGCCAGGACACCCAGCGTGGAGAGCACCTGCAGTGGCACCGGAATGGCACGAGTACGCCGGGTCTCCCGTCCCAGCTGCGGCTCCAACGTCTCGATCAACTGGACCAAGACGTGCCTTGGCAGACGGAAGCGGCTTAGTAGCCAGTCATCAGATTCATTTAAGAAGTCACTCCGATCACGGAATAGTCTCTCTCTTCTTAATCCAACATGCACATCTTCTAGGAGCGCTAGATCTGCCATTGTCAGGGGTGCATGGTTTGGTGCACTCATGCCTCAATTTATAGCCGGGGTGGATATGCATGAACCAATTGCCGTTGCGCACTGATTAGGTGCTACACGGTTTCACACATTTGTGACTCTTGAGTTTGACATCTTGCACGTTATTCAATGACACAAACTATCGGTGTAGCCCAAACATGACTTCGTCAAATTACATATATGTATTGTGAGACATGTGCCTATAATCTTGCCAGAGTAGGAATATGTTTATTTTTGTCCTAAACTTGAATTACATACGTGTTTTCTGCATGTTGTGATGAAGGTTGAAATGGGTGTAAAATGTACACCACCTCTCGACTCGGCGTATATTTTGGTCGTAGCGTATACGCTCGTTTCAAGATTGATAAATGTGGAAAAGTGTACATTTTTTGCGTACGCATCATTTACACCCTGATTTGGCCGTACGCAAGTTTCATACATGAGGCCCCAGGAGAGAACAACAACAGAAACAACAGCAACTTAGTCTTGTATTTCCCTAAATCACAACAGCATCATCTCAGAGACTTAACAAAACCATTGAACTCACCAACACAGATCAGAGAATCAACAGTTAAGACACAAAATACACAAATATGAGTTGGTTCATAGGGAGAGACCAATGTCCATAAATGTTGATAAATGTCATACATTAGTTGTTCCTTGTGGATGCAGGAGGGTCTTGTTGAACAGTTAGTGTCCAACAGAAAGGATTGGTGATGATCAGGACTATGGACATTTTCTTCTGTGTGTGCTTTATATTCTTCATGTGTTGTAACTGTTGATTCTCTGACCTGTGTTGGTGATTTAAATTAGAGCTGCAACTAACGATTATTTTGTAATCAATTAATCTATCGATTATTTTTACGATTAATCGAGTAATCGCTTGGCTGTGAATTGTGTAGAAAAAAATTATTTTTTCATCACAAAAAGCTAAAGTGGCAACACTCGAGGACGTATTGAGGCGTAAACTTAAAGTAAATGTTTGTAACAGGCTCTTTGTGCTAATTCTGCTCTGATTGGATGAGACACAGATATTCATGAAATTATAAAAACAAAGTTGGTTTTAATCAAAAATACTACATTTTAATGTCATTTTTGCTCTGTTTGAGTCCGTGTGAACCAGAAAACGATTAATCGATTACTAAAATAGTTGTCGACTATTTCAATAATCGATTAGTCGTCGATTAATCGATTAGTTGTTTCAGCCCTAATTTCAATGGTTTTGTTAAGTCTCTGAGATGACTGTTGTGACCTAGGGCTTTACAAGAATACATTGTATTGTATTGTATGTTGATGAATGTCACACATGTTGATAAATGTCACATGTTGATAAATGTCACATGTTGATAAATGTCACATGTTGATAAATGTCTAAGCTACAGACAGGCTATAGATCCAGGACCTAAGCTACAGACGGGCTATAGATCCAGGACCTAAGCTACAGACGGGCTATAGATCTAGGACCTAAGCTGCAGACGGGCTATAGGTCCAGGACCTCAGCTACAGACGGGCTATAGATCCAGGACCTCAGCTACAGACGGGCTATAGATCCAGGACCTCAGCTACAGACGGGCTATAGATCCAGGACCTAAGCTACAGACGGGCTATAGATCCAGGACCTCAGCTACAGACGGGCTATAGATCTAGGACCTAAGCTACAGACGGGCTATAGATCCAGGACTTAAGCTACAGACGGGCTATAGATCTAGGACCTCAGCTACAGACAGGCTATAGATCCAGGACCTAAGCTACAGACGGGCTATAGATCCAGGACCTAAGCTACAGACGGGCTATAGATCCAGGACCTAAGCTGCAGATGGGCTATAGATCCAGGACCTAAGCTACAGACAGGCTATAGATCCAGGACCTAAGCTACAGACGGGCTATAGATCCAGGACCTAAGCTGCAGACGGGCTATAGATCCAGGACCTAAGCTACAGACGGGCTATAGATCCAGGACCTAAGCTACAGACGGGCTATAGATCCAGGACCTCAGCTACAGACGGGCTATAGATCCAGGACCTAAGCTACAGACGGGCTATAGATCCAGGACCTCAGCTACAGACGGGCTATAGGTCCAGGACCTCAGCTACAGACGGGCTATAGATCCAGGACCTAAGCTACAGACGGGCTATAGATCCAGGACCTCAGCTACAGACGGGCTATAGATCCAGGACCTAAGCTACAGACGGGCTATAGATCCAGGACCTCAGCTACAGACGGGCTATAGATCCAGGACCTAAGCTGCAGACGGGCTATAGATCCAGGACCTAAGCTACAGACGGGCTATAGATCCAGGACTTAAGCTACAGACGGGCTATAGATCCAGGACCTCAGCTACAGACAGGCTATAGATCCAGGACCTAAGCTGCAGATGGGCTATAGATCCAGGACCTCAGCTACAGACGGGCTATAGATCCAGGACCTAAGCTACAGACGGGCTATAGATCCAGGACCTCAGCTACAGACAGGCTATAGATCCAGGACCTAAGCTACAGACGGGCTATAGATCCAGGACCTAAGCTACAGACGGGCTATAGATCCAGGACTTAAGCTACAGACAGGCTATAGATCCAGGACCTCAGCTACAGACGGGCTATAGATCCAGGACCTCAGCTACAGACGGGCTATAGATCCAGGACTTAAGCTACAGACAGGCTATAGATCCAGGACCTCAGCTACAGACAGGCTATAGATCCAGGACCTCAGCTACAGACGGGCTATAGATCCAGGACTTAAGCTACAGACGGGCTATAGATCCAGGACCTAAGCTACAGACGGGCTATAGATCCAGGACCTAAGCTACAGACAGGCTATAGATCCAGGACCTAAGCTACAGACGGGCTATAGATCCAGGACCTCAGCTACAGACGGGCTATAGATCCAGGACCTAAGCTACAGACAGGCTATAGATCCAGGACCTCAGCTACAGACGGGCTATAGATCCAGGACCTCAGCTACAGACGGGCTATAGATCCAGGACCTAAGCTACAGACGGGCTATAGATCCAGGACCTAAGCTACAGACGGGCTATAGATCCAGGACCTAAGCTACAGACGGGCTATAGATCCAGGACCTAAGCTACAGACAGGCTATAGATCCAGGACCTAAGCTACAGACGGGCTATAGATCCAGGACCTAAGCTACAGACGGGCTATAGATCCAGGACCTAAGCTACAGACGGGCTATAGATCCAGGACTTAAGCTACAGACAGGCTATAGATCCAGGACCTCAGCTACAGACGGGCTATAGATCCAGGACCTCAGCTACAGACGGGCTATAGATCCAGGACTTAAGCTACAGACAGGCTATAGATCCAGGACCTAAGCTACAGACAGGCTATAGATCCAGGACCTAAGCTACAGACAGGCTATAGATCCAGGACCTCAGCTACAGACAGGCTATAGATCCAGGACCTCAGCTACAGACGGGCTATAGATCCAGGACTTAAGCTACAGACGGGCTATAGATCCAGGACCTAAGCTACAGACGGGCTATAGATCCAGGACCTCAGCTACAGACAGGCTATAGATCCAGGACTTAAGCTACAGA